TGTGTGTGTGTGTGTGTATTTACATGTGTGTAACTGTGTCTCTGTTTCTCCAGGTGACCTTCACCTCTCTTAACGTCCTGCTTCACACTGAGGCTCTGCTCTCTGCCATCGACTTCCTGTCCTCTGCCCTGATGTCGGACGGCATGACATCCTCCGACAAAGACGTCAAACCAAAGACAGACGAAAAGACACCGTCCGCTAAGTCCAGTCAGTACAACACACGCACAAAGATTTGTTTGTGGCCACAATATCAACACAACGATTAAATAGTTTAAGTAAGATCAAGTAAAATCTGTCTTCAGAGCTGAGCTACACACAACATCCATTCATTTATCTCCTGACTCACACCACATTCACTTCATTTGTCTCTAACGAGTCATGTTGGGTTTTTCTGTCAGCCGCCACGATGTCACCTGCAGACAGTGATGTCATCAACCTGAAGGTGATGATGTCACTGGGAGCCTTCAACGTGCTAGTGTGTGACCAGAGTTGCAACATGGCCGACATCAAGATCCAGGGTAGAGAACCACAACTGAGTTTTTTTTATTTGTATGATTTTCATTGGTCAACTTGAGTTTAACAAAGTGTTTTTTTATCTTCAGGTGTTAACGGATCTTTATTGAAACAAGGAGCACAGACGTTTATTTCAGCTCGACTCCGAGACGTTGTCGTCCTCAATGTCGATTCTCAAACCATCCACACCAAGGTCCCGTCAGAGATCCACATTAATATTAATAAGCCTCTAACACTGGTCGACTCACCGGAGACACTGTGGACGCTGCTTGTTGAACTTTGACCCTCTGTCCTTCAGGCCGTCTCCATAGTGGGTGACGAAGTCTTCAGCTTCTCCATGAGTCTGACTCCGAACGCCACAGAGGGTGCCGGTTACGCCGATACGACTCAAACTGACGGCACGGTAAAGCTGAACGTCGGCTGCATCCAGGTGGTTTATCTGCAAAAGTTCTTCATGTCTCTGCTGGTGAGTTTCACACAACACCAAAGAAAATATGTTTTTACTGGAACATATGAAACTTTTCGTGTTTTTTTTGTGTTCTAGATTTTTTAGTTTTAGTTTGGTCACGTTCTCGAGTCAGATTTTTATCAACTGAGAGAAACCGACAAAGATTGACTGATCATTAAAACTTGAGCGTAAAGTTTTTCTGAAAAGATTCGTTTTCTTGGATCAGTTTCATAGAAAAATTATTAAATAATAAGAAGTTTAA